TTCATACGTTTTCGAATTAGTTACAATAATATCACACTGTCCAATAAATAATTTCGCTTTGATGCTATATGCGACACTCTTAGGATTGCAATTAAGATTTAAATAGATTATAATCTTACGTATTCAAATGTTATAGCAATTGTGATTAGCAATAAAGTTGCATAATATTGCAAAATGATCACAATAAAATAATAAATAATCAGATGAATAAGAAATTCCTATTAATAAAATATAATTAGTTTAGTTCAAAATTGGAAAATCCCATCGCAGATTATAAAGTAAATAAATCGAGTCAAAAAGTTTGTCACGCAACTAATGATCCAACTGCGTGACAAAAAATGTATAAGAAAATCCCACGTCAGTGGTTTACCGACACCTTTGTACCTGAGGGTACAAATCTGCATCGCCTAATGGTCCTTTAGGGAGCAATGACCTTATCATCAGCAAGATATTGGGATCAGTGTAAATCGGCCGAGTTTCATTATACGGTTTCCGTAAAAAGACTATGCTTTATCGCAACCGGGGCAACATCGAAATGGAAAAATACATTTTTATTATAAAATTTAATTATTTTATTATACATTTTTATTATAAAATTAAATTATTTTATTTATAAATAATTAATTTTCTAAATATTGTTAAGATTAATCCTTCTTTTAAATAGACAAATACATTTAACAATTCTTGTAAGCTTATTGATGTCTTTTACTATAATACAGCGGCTTTTATTCTTTTATTTGATCATAAAATTATTATAGATTAAAGCAATATTAAAAATGTCAATAGGGTAATTATCACTTTTTTTCTCGAGTATTTTAATATATTTTAATATATCTTACATGAAAGAATTAATTTATCTCACCTTCTCATGTTCGTAAATAATATTGTATAAAATACTATATAATCACAAATAATTTTTGATTATGTATAATTTCAAAGGTTACGCAGATAACTTTAATCAATAGAGTTTATAAATTTAATCTAACTATATTCAGAAACTTCAATTTTTTAAAGTTATAATTACTTTAATAATCCAATAAAAAATATGCATAAAATCCTGAATGCGTATGATATTTTATTATTTAACTAATATACTTTGAAATGCATTTAATTAAAACTCATTATTAGGTACAATATGTGGATTAAAATTCGCAAATAATGAAAATAAAATTTATATTTTATTACAATGTAATGGAAATTTATTCACCAAATACGTCGGATTAAGAATTAATTTTATACAAAGTTTTAAATTTTATTTTATATTCATTACTTTTATATAATTTGTTCCACATAATTTTTATTTATTTGTTTTACTAACTTCTTGTTACGTTTCCGTTAAGAAATTTTCTTCAATTTAGAATAGTTCAAAATTTTTAATTTCTTCACTGTTTTATCATTTTAAATCTCATCGTTGTTACATATTAATTCAGATATTAATTCATTACAAAAAGAATAGTTTTTAATCTATTTAATAAGACAGTGAATATTTAATATACATATAAGTGACAAAAAATTTTTTGTAATTGTTATTAACTTGAACTACAGATAATAAATATTTTACAAAAATGTCAAACGTTATATATATATATATATATATAATTATAAATTTATTTTAAATTTATTCTTTACAAATAATTTATAATGTATAAGTAATGCACATATAAACATGCATATATAAATCTTTATTCTAATTATAATTTTATTAGAAAGTCAAGAAAAATAAAATATTTTATTTATATAATAAGGCGCTTAGATATACATTTTGTCGATTAAATATAAGTTAAATAAAAGTTTTTTGGGTCATTTATAAATGTAACGTGATAAAAGCCGTAATTATTAATAATCAGGTAAACATACTATGTTTGTCTTCAATTCGTTTGTATATTTTTTTATGTGTGTGAACACTAACTCATTTTGAATCTAAAAAGTTTTCAAATTAAACAGTTCAAGGACAGTTGTTTAGAATAATTATTTTAAAATTTCAGTGAAATATTTCCACAGCATTAATTAGGTATTAAATTACTGTTTATGTAATTCATAATTATTAATAAAGTATTTCTTTAACTAATATTTTTAAAAAATTGTATATTTTATGATGGAAAGTATCTCGCTTTAAATATTTTTATAAAATGTGTCAATTTTTAAAAAACGTAAATTTTTAAAACGTAGAGTGAAGGAAAGAATGTTCAAAATATATTAATCAATTGAATAGTTCTTATATATTTTATATACCATTTTAATAATATTTATTGCTACAAATAGATTTTTTTATATTAGAAGGGAAATATCGAATGGAAAAAACTTTATATAAAAGTTATGCAAATGCATTGTAAGAAATTTTTTGTGTCAATAATTTACATATAATGCGAGATTTGTTATAATTTTTCAAAGAATTTAATGGAGTACTTGAAAATATAAAAATCGATATTAATATTAGACAAATAAAATATTTTATGTAATATGAATGAAATATCATTGAAATAATTTAATAAAATATGATAATATTTTATGTAAAATAAATATTGATAGGATTAATTTTTAAAATTACAGTCTATTTATCTAAACATGTTTAATTAAAAACATATTTTTTAAAAGAAATCGCCTATTTATACACAAACTCTATAATATAAATACATTCTGTACAATAATACTTTTTAATTATTTTTTAAATTTTAATTTTTTGTCTTCAGAAATTATAAATTTATAAAATTATTTTAGTTATAGGTAAAAAATATTATCGTTTACTACTGGGATAGCAAATTCAGTTTTATAGGATCGCTTAAAGATAAAATTTGGAATAATTCTACTTTTGAAGAAATTTCCAATACAGTCTACGAATATATAAATAGCTGCAGTCAAATTTGTCCTTAATATTTTTCGAATAAATTTTTTATTGTATTACCATTAGCTCTTCTTCAAATTGTATGTAATTCATTTAAAGATTACATAAAAGTCATTTATTATTTAGAAAATTGTAACAAAACTTGCGTTCGTTCTTACATTTTGGTTAAATAGGTCAACTCATTTCCTTTTGTTAAATATTTCAGTAGAAATAGGCGGCCAAAAGGTTAATGAACTTTATCCGGACGTATTTTTCATTTGAAAATTGTAGCAGAAGTGCACATTTGACACGCTAAGCATTACGATACCATACGATATATGATAAATAGCCCTATTAATCGTAATGTTCATGCTAGCATAAATTAGAATCTTTATTAAGTTTCAACGACAGTATAATATCTACCATGAAACTTACTTTCTTTTATTTATTTATTTTTTTTTAATGTTTTTTTTTTCGTTTTTTGATACCTTTTTCAACAAGCATTATAAAGCTGTTAATAAACGAAGAGGCTTTTATAATTACTTACAATTAACTTGGTTACAAGTCCAATATAATTAATAAATATGCATAAGAAAATTGAAAATAGAAAGTGACATTGATTAATAACTTAAATTACATTTATCAAATACAGAGCAGTAGCTGAAATATTTTTAACCGAACTGTTCTTACGGCTGTTTCTATCTACTTTCAGACATTTCACTTGCCAACTTTATAATTTTAGAAATCGGAATCTAGTGGAAAATGTTATGGCTAACACTCGCCAGCATTTCATTTCTATCCACTTCATTCTCCGAACATTTATTTTTCAAAACTTTGCCCCATTCACAATTTTCAAGACGTCAAAATGTGAATCAACATAATAGCTTTGTAAAGGTGTATGCGAAAGTACAATATATATATGAAGAGTTCATCCATCGCTGCGTCAGGGTACGGTTTGTCTAGTCTTGCTCGTAATAATACAGCTTCCGAAAATGGCTCGAACCCATTTTTACACCCCATAAGAGAGTCAGTGGGCCATTGTTCTTACTCAAGCTCTTTGTTCCACGTAGCAGCTCCCTTTCTCCAACTAGTTCATATGTTGGTTGCGCAACGGAGTTGGGCTGATTTAACGAGGAATTGTGGAGCGATACATCACCGTACTGAAATACCGCAATGGCACGTACGACCTTACGCGCGGAAGCCTGGATAATATCGATGAAAAGCCCCTCATCTTGGTAATGCGTGAGAGACAATCGACGATATATATATAATATGATTTACTAAAAATTGCGTTAAAGCACTGAATCGCAAATTGATATCATGATTATGAGATAAACAACGAGATACCAATGAGTTTTTTTGTTTTCACTGATATCATGTTACGGGAGATATGCAGAAAGAAAAATAAGCCAAATGCTTCGAACGTTGGAAAGAAATTTAACTGTTTTAGCACAAAGTAAAGAATATCCGAAAAATATAAGCGGTTAGATAAATATTGACGACATATTGTTTTCTCCTTGATAAAAACAATCATCCAGGATAATCTGATAAAATGTATTAATGTCACGACTACGTCTGAAATATTTAATGTATATCAAAATATAAATGGCAAAAGATTTTAAGAATTTTTCTACTAGTTAACGTACCCTTAAAATTACTTTCTATTATACAATTTAAGCATTAAATTATAGGATTTTAGTAAGAATTGAGTACTTTTGCCAGCCACTACATAAGATATCGTTCAATTTTACCATAAGCCTTTTCAAAGATTAAATGCGCGATCAAGCTAATTACGGGCATATTCTAGAGAATTTCATCTTATAAAGTAAGAATCTTATTATCAACTTAATACCCTCCCAATATGCTAACTATCTATTAACTATATTTTATGCTTTATAGCTTGTCTTGAAATTCTTTTAATCTTCGCAGCGTAAGAAATTCAGATACGAATGATCGATTAAAAACGCAATATTTATTATTAACTATTTGACAGATAGTTGAAAGCAATGTGCTCTGCGACTATAAGCACTCGTCATATTAAAAATAACAATTAAAAAATTTAACAATTAAAAACAAAACACGGTATTAAACTTGAAGTGTATGTAATTGAAAATGTTCGAGACAAGTCTCTTAAATAAGTGAAAATTATTTAAAAATTAATTATTATAAAATGTTTCAGTGCCCGTAGTGCGCATAGTAGCACTGGTGGGAGAGCCAGCGTATCTGCCCTGTGACATATCACCCAGTCAAGAAGATGACGCCGTTCGTCTTATTCTCTGGTTTCGCGATGATCGCGGAAGCTCTTCCTCGTCGATATACAGGCAAGTAACTTTTTATAACTTAACATAAGCAACTGAGTGGTTGGCAAACCACATTTCAAAGTTGAAGCATCAACTTATAATAAAGATAGCCCACAAAATCTATGCGCCCTCGGCTCAAGCGTGCAAACTAATCCGACAAAAATCCGCTAATGTCAATTATGGCATGCACGTACAAACAGCATATACATGCAACATACAATCGTGTTATCTACATGGAAGTGCTTTGGCGGTGGTAGTAAATCGAATCACGCGTGACAGCTATTTTTAATCGACGGTACGTTCAATTTTCTCTGGTAAACACAGGAGCAGACGCTTTCATCGGAGCAAATCGTACCGCGCTCTAAACTTTTGTATATACGCTCCCCATCATCAAGTGATGCTTTACGCCTTGTTTAATCGCTACTCAAATAAAGCGAAAATGAAATGAAAGAGGACAAGAGAAATAGGTAGACAAAAAATCATTGTCTATAGAAATCGAACGAATAACCAAGAGATGAATTAAGAGTTATATTTCGACGCCAATATTGATTATTGATCCCTGGAAACTTTAATATTCAATGTACTATTGTATATTTTTAATTGGTTTCTTATAATTAAGAGTCAATAATGTTGGATATAATAATAAAATTTCAAAGTTCGATTAACATAAGTATTGAATAATTTTACTTTTCTCTTACGAATAATTGAGTAGTCTGGTCTTTTCAAAATACTAATCAATAATTAATAACATTGATCGCGATAATTATATAAATTATTACTATCTTGTTTAATATAATATAATATGTAGGGCAGAAAAGCAAAGGATTAATTTATATTAATAAGACTTAATTATCTATAAGAAATTATTGATTAATATTGTACTTTTTATATATTCCTTTCTTATGCAATACATTAAGAATACAGCAGGTTAAATACAGAAGTTTTGGAATATGAAAAATTATGTATTTAAGTACATCGGCGAGACTGATAATTATTATGAATTAACAATATTAAACCCTTACGGTCATGCCATTGGCCGTTATCAATAATTACGACTTTGGTAAAGACTCTTCTCTATTTCTTATACTCTTCTAACATTGATACGACATCCATATAAAATTCCAGCTCGGATTTCTCGTTATCCATTATAATTTCTTATTATCTTTAGAATTGATCTTTCACTCTTACGACGATTGTCTACAATATTCTATTCGACTTATATTCATCAAGTATCTTGAGTGTTATGCTTTTCGGCTTATTCTTGTTGACATTATGCACGAAGCTCATATTGGCCATGTTTATAGGCGAGTTAAATTCATATATAACATTTCACTCCAGACGACAGAAAAAGCAGAGAATAAATTATATTTTGAATAAAGAAACTTGAAATACTTGCAGCATCCAAGAGTATATGACAAGAGACATAAGTGAAAAAGATGATCGCTCTGGGAAAAATCTCATCCGACGATGTCAGCGACAATGTCGTATTCGTTGTTACATTCGCTATCATTACGAATCCTTTTCTTTCTCTATACTTTATATTTTCTTCATGCATATTTCCTTTTGTTCTACTAGTTTGATCATGGTCGTAAAGATATTTTACTGTGAAAAGAAAGAAAGAAAGAAAGGCAAAAAGAAGGAAATGAAAATTTATGAGCACAATTCGTGTAACTAGAACAATTTTCAGTATTTATCGCAATTGGGTTATAAATCATGTTTCGACATGATGTAAAATTTGTTTCACCGTTCCAACAAAAACACTACATCTCTCGATTTCTCTTTGCCATTCAAGCATGTCTATATTAAATTTGCAAAATAAGCAATAATGCCTATTTATATCATTTGGTACCACTACGTTAATTTACGGTAATAAAAATGGTATTGAATAAAAATTTATATGACTATTGATAAAAGAAGATATCACTAAGGAAGATGAAAATATGAAAACTGTTATTGCTTAAGGAAAATATAATATTAATTTGATATCTGTATACATGTTGTCCTACGTACATAATTGTTGAACAAATTATGTAAAAAATTCATGAAAATGTGAAAGATGTAATTAAATATTATTGTAAATAAAGATTAATAAATTTTACAATTCACGATTTAAGTATAATAATCCTGTAACGTGAATATAATCTGTGTTTAAATATACACTTAAATTTATTAAAATTATTGTTAATTAAAAGATTATTAAAATAGAATTTTAGTCTTAAGCAAAATCCTTACATAAAAATAAATGTTTGATGAAAAATGTTTTTGAAGCTTTACCTTAATAACACGTAACATGTTAATTTTAATTTTAAAAAATAAAAATAATAATCTAATAGGCAAAATTAATGGAATAATGAATCTTTCTTATAACAAAATAAGCACGATGATAAAATATTGAGAACTAATAAACGATTTATTATTACATGGCTTATATACTTATACTTAATCGATATATTTTTAATTTTTAACAATGTTAAAAAAAAAGAAAAAAAAAACATTTCTATTTAGTTAAGAATATTTGAATTTCTTTCTGATTACTTTTAGCTTGTAGGTTAAAATAGTTAGTTGATGTATGTTAAAACTTTAAAATAAAATTGAATTTTAATGGCAAAATTAATTAATCCGAATGTCATCTGTTTAAATATGCATATTAAATATTGAGATCCTGAACATAATATCATTTAAATCATTAAATTTCTTTAATGAATAAGCCATCGTATGACCTAATAATGCACATATTAAAATATCATATTTACAAATCTTCCCCTACCAAATATAAATCTTTTCTACTATAGCACATAAAATTATGTTTCATTGTATATTAATATTTGCTTTTTCAAATTGTAGTTTTTTTTAAAACTTTTTTAACTTTTATTCCTTAAAAAAAACTTCTTTGTGGGCTTAATTAATTATGCCTTCCAGGGTAATATATGATGATTAAATTTAAAATCTGGCTCAACTTCTGGCTGAAATAAGAAATCGCTTGCGATATAATCAATTTCAGTTTCATTTTAAATTTAATATCTACACACTAATATAAAAGCATGATATAAGATTGATGTAACATAATTGGAAAATATAATATAAATTGAGTTTAAAATGATTTAAGAAATATTTGTAGTGAAAACGATATGAGTAGTTAGAAAAGGAATTTATAGCGACCAGAGCAAAAATGAGGCAAGGAATCGCAGTTGAAAATCCAATGCAGAAGCAAGATAATGCATAAACTATATTCTAGAGGCTACTTTAGTCGATATCTCAAATTTACGAGACTTTTCCATTTGCTCGTCCAAAAAAGTGCCAGTAAAGAAAAAGTGTAAGGGAGAAATATCGCAGAGAGGTGGAGAAAAAAAGTAAATTTGAAAGTAATAGGGTAAGAAAAGCAGCTGTAATGAAGTGCACATTCACAGACGTATTTACAACTATGAAGAGAGGCTCGAGGAGCAAAGAAGTGTAACGCAAGCTCAAGGACATAAATAAAAATCTCAGAGTAAGATGATGCGCATTCCTCGCTTTTCTTTCGAAAAGATTCTACGTTGCTATCTTCGTATATTTATATAGAATATTCACACGCTCGTATATCTAAATAGCATTTGCTAACCCAGCCATTTTATGCGATGACAGATCGATGACTGAAAGCTACGATCGACGCACCTTGGAAGGAAATACGAATTTTTTTCACACCAAATTTGATCTATTTACTTTATTTTACAAACTCTGGATCAAAATAAGAAGAGAAAAAAAAACGAGGATATAATGGATAAGGTCTTTGCCATAGTGAATTTTCACGACCTTTTTATGAGTAGCGAACCGCAAACGTGACGAAAGCCCGAGGTGCATTATTTCCAAGAAGCATTTTCTAAGTTTCTATGACTTATCAAACTTGTCTCCGATTCCCATTGAGTATAAATGTAGAAACAGAAAGTAAAGAACTGTGTGACTGCGCGCGCGCGCGCGCTTGTGTGTATGCGAGAGAGAAATAGAAAGTAAAGAAGTGGGAAGAAGAGGGAAACAAACAGAGAATAGACAGAAAAATACAATCTGAATAAAGGTCCACCGTGTCAGCGAACCATTGCTACTAGTTTCTAGTTTATTTCTAGTTTAGTTTAGCCCATGAATAACATATATTCTCTCCCTTTCTTTTTTTCTTCAACCAGGTTCGTTCTTTCGCAAGCTTATCCGGGTCAGCGCCTTAGAATACAAAAAGTCGAGTGATTTTTTTTTACATTTAATCCCGCACAATGTAAACGTCCGCTTCTCCCATCGTGTTTTCCTTTTAGCAAACCCTTTCACTTTTCATATTCATTATTTTTTCCATCATCTTTATCGCATAATGCAACATTGTACTTCTCACGTTTTTTCACATTTCTTACATTGCCATTCTCCGCTGTATTTTATTACATATTTAATTTTTTTTAATCCACTTTAATTTTATGCACACTGATTTATTTTCATTATATTACACAGAGAACGGGTGTAAATAATTTGAATACAACTAAATTGCAATTAAGCGTGAATCGAATTATTTTTATTATCAATTTATCGTCATCCGCGCATTTTACCAACAACGATGCTTAATATTGATATTGAAAAGCCGAAAAACTTCAACAGACTGAGAAAATAATCATTACAAATTCATTACAGTACATATACTCTTAAATATAAAGAAAACTAAAAAAATTTATGTTAAAAATCCTTCAAAAATAATTCATTTTTCTTCCTATAACAAATTGGCAAAGCAATTATTTAATAATAAATTTAATATTATAACGAAATAAATTATTGAAATTTGTCAAGGTAAAAGATAGATGTTAATTGAATCAGTGCTAATATAAAAACATAAATGATAAATCTGAAAGATATAAATAATCTGATTAATACAATGCATATGTGTATTAATTATGCTCAAAATAGAGGATTTTTCGGCCAGTACAAATTGCCATTACAAGCGTTACATAGACTATCAAAATTTTGATGAGACGTCGTAAATTCTTGTGATGCTCCTTAACAATTTGTCACGGATA